GAGCTGTCTCTCCAAGGTTGTGAAGCTCTAATTATGATATACTGAGCTTCTAACTACTTCCTTCTTGCCTTATGGAAAGAACATAGGACTAGTCAGATTAGATTAAGCTTCTTGTATGTTATATCTTAGCTTCAAGTACCAGATGCTTTAAAAGGAGGCGTGGGAGGCAGATGTTTTGATTATTGACCGTCCCCAAGAGAGATCTTCTCCATCCTGGTAGTTTGTGTGATGGCAGCACCAATAACCTCCAGCCAGATTCAGAATCTTGATAAGTGAGTTTCCTCACTCATTGGGTTCAGGTTCCTCCTGCAAAAAGTTGTGTTCACAGTTCTTCATATTTTGAAACACGGGAAAAAATCAAATTATCATCCAGCAAGGGGCTTAAGGAGGAAAAGTCAGTAGGCAGTGTCCCCATGGCATGGCTTCAGACTGAGTATTCATGTAATTGGAATTAGACACCTGTTTAAGACAGAATTGAGTTGAGTCAAGAAATAAAAAGGAGGCCCATGCTGTACAGATGGTTAAGCATGTGTATATTGTCAAGTAATTCTTGTAAGACCACTCTGGTGGCTAATACAGGTTGAGGATAAGAATGTTTGTAGGACTGGGGACTGCTTTAGGCTCATGTTAATGACTAGATGTGATTCTGCTCTTCAGTGTGTCTGCGTTTGTCTGGTTTCTTATGGAGGATGCATTTCCCAGCAGTGTGTGTGGTGGAACTATAAAGGCTCTGATAACCCAAATTTTGCTTCTTGACTCGAAGATCCATATGGGTAATTGATATCCTAAGACACGTTGAAAGCTGACCTTAATTGTTTTCCATAAGTTGGAAGATGAGAGACTTCCAGCACAAATATACACCCACCTGAAGCTTCTTCTCCAGTGTGCTTGTTGGTTTGAGGCTCCGAGTGCTTAGAAAAACAAACTCAGTGCTGAGGCTTCTAAGTCTGCATTATAAAATAAAATGGAACACACGCTCCCGATGGTAAAATTATTTGCTAACGTGTTCCAAAAGCGATGCTAGGCAAAAGGCAGTAAAAGTATCTTAAAAAGCTGGATGTGAAACCTAGCAGATGTGCTTTTCTGTTCTGGTGAGAAAAGCACCTACTTACTGAAATGAATGGGAGACTCGAAGGAGGATGTGATGGTTACAATATTTTCTCTTCTGGGAAAGATGAGGTGGAGGAGAAGTTATTAAATGCTTGCTTATGCATTTGTAAGTTGGAAAGCATTCTTTTGGTGCTTAGAATTGCGTGCATCTCCCAGACTTGCGCTGATCAGCAGGGAGAGTTGGCTCTGGTTGGCATTACCTCTGTGGCACAAAGGGAGGGAGCAGGTACAGCTCAGGATCTGTGAAACCTTATTTCTAAATGCTTCCAAAGAGCACAGGGAGGAGGAACAGAGCATTCCTGTATTTGGAGATGAAACTTTTTCCAGCCATCAAATCAAGTGTTCTGCTCCTCAGATAAAGCAGAACTTAGAGCAAACAAAAGGTTTTAGAATGGATGTAACCCACAGCACTGTATTTTTACACCCCTGTCTTGTACACAGCATTCCCAGTGAAGAGCCCAGCCTGTATTTATGATTTAGCTGCACCCACCTGCACTGTTTTAAACCTCTTGTACTGAACATTTTAATAGGCTGTCCTTCTTACTCCAGACACTCCTATTTCAGTGAAATGGACCATCCTGTAAATGAGGGTGACATTGAATCGGAGCAGCCGTGTAAAGCAGAGCTGTGTGTGATGCAGTGCCCCGTGCCCTTCAGACCCGAGTCAGCATCCCCAGCTCTCATTGCTTCTCGGCACCGTGTGCTCCCATTGCGTTCTTGGCTCTGCTGTTGGACTCCAGGAATCGGGGAGCAATTCGTTTCTCAAATACCGTTGTGTGCTTTCAAAACCACGGCTGCGTGTTTGCATGCGAGCAGCTTGCTTTGTGGAGGGCTTAAATGTGAAGTGTTTGTCAACAGGGGCGTTGATTTTTGTGGTGCGGTTGTGGAATGAAACTCGCTGAGATTGCCGGGCGAAGAGGAAAAGAGGAATTATCCTTTCCCCTCTGACACTGATAATTTTAACCTACGATTTGTTCCCTTGGGACATCCGAAGGATTCGGAACTCTCACGAATTCAAGAGCGAGAACGAAGTGCTGCCATCTCAGTGCCTTCATTGGCCGTAGCCTGACTTTCCTCCTTCACTTTTTCGCCATAAGAGTGGGAGGAAATAACAGCAGTTTTAAGGTTATGCTTTCAAGGAGTTACGTATACACTGAAGATAATTCTTTCCTTCCTCCTGGGAGCTCCTAAGGCGTAGTGAAAGTTGATTCTTGTGCCCAAAACCTCTCGAGGAAGGGGAGCATCTTGCTTTACCGCATCCGAACAGGGCTCACCTGTCCCACTGAGCCCGGCGTGCGGCACCGAGAAGAGCCGTTCCTCCAGAAGGAAACGATCAGCCCTGAACAGTCGCTTTTTTCCTCATCTCTTCCCCCTTAGGATGAGGAAGAGGAGCGCTCTGGGCGATTCCCGAAGTGGGTTGGGGTTCTCCTATAGGGGGCTGTGCGGCTTCCCTCCCCCCCCCCATCCCCCCCCGCGCTGCCCTCCCCGAGCCTCGCGCTCGCTTCTGCCCCTAAATTCTCTTCGGAGCGAGTTGTGTGTGCGGTGGAGATGGGCTGCTCGAGGCTTTCGTCTATTTAAGAAAAGCTTTCTGTTTGTTTCCCCCCCCCCCCCCCCCCCCCCCAAGCTCTCCTCCGTCCCGCAGTTCGTGGTGCCGTTTACCTGTCGCATGCCGCTGGAGCGGATTCCCTTAACCGATCCGCAGCCATCTCCGCAGCGGCTGCACCGATGGCAATGCTGATTTCGCTTGGAGCGCCTACATCGGGAGAGGCTGAGGGATTTGCTTTCTGCAAGCTGTGTCTAACCCGGCTGCTCGAAGTAGGGATTCCAGACTCGGAGTTCAGGATTTAGAACTGCTTAAGTGCTGCATTATTGAGATACATTGCGAGGGAGAGAAACTTTATGATGGGGGTGAAGGAAATCCCCACCCCGCCCCTCTGGGATCGCCCCCTCTCCCCGGGTGGGGCTGAGCCCACGACCCCCCATCCCCCGGGCGCTGCCTCTGGATCCCGGGCTGCCCCGCGGCCACAGCCCCGCTGAGCCACCGGGGAACGGCTCCGCTCGTTTGTCCCTGAAGTGCCGAATTCTGGTGGCAGCTGTTCGGGGCGAGGGGAGCGCGTCTCCTCTGACCCCCGCCGCTGCCCCCTGACCCGCTATGAATCCCTAAAAGCTCTGCTCCCCCGGGGCCACGGCACACGAGTCCCTATTGTCCCCAAAGCTGGCACGGTCCCGGAGCCCAACGGGCTTTCCTGGGCATCTCGCTGGGACTGAATGAGCAGCTGCCTTCAATGCGACCGGAGCGCCTCTAACGCGTTACGGACTCGGCTGTATCGCTGCGAGCGAGAGACTTCGGCTCTTAGGGAACACTTTCTCCTTACGAATACATCAGGCGAGGTTCTCTCGAATTCCACCGCCGCCCCCTCCCACCCCTGCCCCGGCTTTAGGAATTGATGCAGAAACGATGGGGGCGGCACTGCCAAAAACGCTCCTGGTACCAAGGGGGGGCATTGAGCCGAGGGAACGGACCCGTGCCCGTTGTGGGGTGGCAAGAAAAAGTCCCTTCAGTTGTGCGTTTTATTCTCTCATACCTTTGTTTGGAACAGATCGACCTCTATTCCTAAGTTTTAATCTCGGAGCCGTGACGTGCGGTTTCTCAGCCGCGCTGTCGCAGCACCGAACTGCTGCTGCTTTTATTCAATAATGCCCCTTCTGCTGCCCTGCTCGAAGCGCTCATTGCGCACGGATCGCTTTGGGGAGGTGCGTTCGGGTGGTAAATCTCCTTAACAGAGCCGGTGTGGGATGGATGGGTTCATCTCCTGCCATATCTGTCACTCATGTGGACAGAATAATTCAGTCCCGGCTTCGGGCTGAATTAAGGGCGCGTTTCTACGAAAGCCTTATTGGAAGAGTTTTATTTGTGATGTTTTTTGGTATTTTTTTTTAGGAGAGCCGTATCAAACGTCACAAAAACTGTATCAGTCTGACACGTGTTACAAAGGTGGCTCCGCGAAATGGAAATGGAAGCAGGAGCTGAAAACACTGATTGAATTTCGGTCTGAATCTCATCCCGTTATAAAATAAAGCGGGTTGGAGAGGAGCTGTGCATAATGAATGGAGGAAATCCTCGCGCTGTCCCTTTAACTACCGAACATCTGATTCCCTCATCTGGCAGATGGTCTCTGAGCACAGATTTGCATTCATTGTCTTGAAATCTGTTTTCGCGTTGTTATATGGATTTCGGAGGCAGATCTGTGCCCGGATCAGAACACAGAAGGAAAATAGCAGCGAGCCCGAATGGCTTTATAAAGTAAAAGCATAGCGGCCCGTTGTGCGGCCGGCCGGGCCAACTCCGCTGTCCTTTCCCGGGGGATGCTGTCCTCCATCGCTTTACCGGGAATTGTTCAGGCTCGAGCTGACAGCCCCGTGCCCGGCGAGCGCTGCGGGAGGGGCGGCCTCTCGTGCCCCCACCCCTCAGGCTGAGCCCCCTCCGACCGTTTCGGGGTGCGTGGCGGTGTCGCTTTCAAATATCGCGCCTGGAAGCCATCAGCCGGCCGCGTGTGCGGCTGCTTTGCGATGCCGGCGCTGCGCTGCGCTGCCCGCTGGGACGCGGCGGTTTCGCCCCGCGCCGGGACGGCCGCGCTCCGGGGGTTGATCGGGGCCGAGCGGCTCGGATCTGCCCTCAGCCGTCCAATCGGAGCGCGACATGCAAATGAGAATCCCTTATATGGCAACAGGCTCCGCCCCCTTCCCGGCGCGCCCGCTCCTGGCGCTGTAACCCATTCATGGTGCCGGGGCGGGGAGCGGCGGCTCTTCCCGGCGCGGTGTCATCAGCCGCCGCAGCTCCGTTCTTCTTTTCTTCCCCAAATCATCCCGAGCCTTTTTTTTTTTTTTTTTTCTTTTTTTTTTTTTTTCTCCTTCTCCTTCTGGATCAGGCAGCGATCAACCCCTTCTCTCGGTGTCTTTCTCGAAACAGGTGATCCTTGTTAACGGCCGTCGGTTCCTGGATGCGGTTCCCTGCGTTTGGAAGATGACGATGCCAGGAGAGACCGAATCGGCGTGACTCACTTTGCGAGAGGAGAAACTTTTTCCCCCATTTGAAGGCACTCAAACACACGCAGCGCTTCAAGCTGAAGTTGGTTTCAAAGCTGAAGTTCCCGGGATTTGTGCGTGTCAATTTCCAGAAGCTGCTTATTTTTTTCTTTTCCTCCTCCCCGATCCCCCCCCGAAGGAAACTGTTGCTCTTTGGAATAGACTTCTTAAATGTTTGGGATCCAAGATACTTTGGGAAGAGGACCGATTCTGAAAGACAAATCTCTGGGTTCTGAGATGGATTCCGTCAGGTCCTGGGTCAGAAACGTTGGGGTTGTGGATGCAAATGTAGCAGCACAAAGGTAACCGGAGCGGTTTTCTCCCCCTTCTTCCCTCTTTTTTTCTTTGCCTTTATTCTCCCCTTTTTCCAGCAGCCTTTTCTTTCCTCTCTCTTATTTGCATTTGATATCAAATTGATTTTCTCCCTTTCTGTCCCCCCACCCCCTCTTTCCCCCTCAGACTTCTCTTGTCAGTGAGGGTTCAGGGCAGTGCAGGCAGAGATAGGGACACAGGAGAGCATCAGGACTCCTCAAATCCACTGCAGCCCAGATATCAGACATGGGCTCGTTCCCTCCCCCCCCTTTTTTTTGCTCCACACAAGAGCAGTGTCAGAGGGAATCTCTTCTTCCAGCGATACCAGCGACTCTTTCCCACTTTCCGAGCCACGCAGCAGAATAGGAGCAGCCCAAGTTTAAAGATCAACTCAAACGCGGATCTTCTCCCCCCCTCCTCCTTCTCCCCTCGTCCCATCTTGTTTTACTTAATTCAAGTGCCTGTCGCTACCGTGAGCGCCGGCGAAATGTTAACCCGTGGATGCAGGGAGGGGTAACAGCACGGCATGCCGCGCTCCCACCCACTGCTCGCACCCCGCCTGTGCTTTGGCCCTTGGCTTTGTCGTTCAATTATTTGTTCCTTTGGTTTGTTTACTATTTAGCAGCATCTCCCGCGCACCACTTTTTCCCATTTATTTTAATTCATTTTTTTTTTTTTTTTTTTTTAAGTCTCTCCCTAGCCAAGTTGGTGCAGGACCGCTGCTCCACTCTTTTCCCTTTTAGGACGAGGTGATAAAAACTCCTTTAACTAATATATATATATCTCTCATCGCTCTCTGGGTACACCGGGAGGGGAAGGCTGAATCAACCCCCCGAGTACGTTGGGTTTTATTTTATACAGAGGCAAAGCGAAGGGCACACAGAGCAGCGGATGGGACTCCAAAACGAGAGAGGGACCTTACAGAAACAGCCCAGCCACGGCCCGATCCGTGAGCGAGGTTTTCCGAGCACCATGGGAGGAGTTATCGGAGTTTTGTGAATGTCGATAGACGGTTTAATAAACGGTGTGAGGGGGGGAGACGTTTATTAAACCATCACCATCCACGGGGAAAGCGAAAGGAAAAGGAAACGGTTCCTTTGGAGCCTCCAATTCGCGGCAGCGGTCGCACGGGGTTTGGGGGAGAAGGGGGGGAGAAGCAGAGCTGGGTTATTTTTGAGAACGGTAACGAACCGAGAAATCAAAGCCCCAAAGTGGGCGCAGTTGTGGCGGATGCGGTGAGTTCACACCGAACCTATTTGGCAGTGGAAAAGGCAGGGAAACATCTGCAGTTCTGCGAAAGAGTTGAATGGTTTTTGCCAGCACAGCTCTGCAGGCTGAAAAGTGAACAGTTCTGACTCCGGGTTTGTCCGGCTGGTAGATTTAACCCGTGCGTTCGGTGCTGTGAGCTGCTGCTCTGCACCCCTTTGCTGCGTGTTTTGGAGACGGAGCCGTGACCGATTTCGCTGCCCAACGCAGCTCGGGGTGCTGCGGAGGCACAAAAGCGTTTCCAGCATCCCCAACTGGGAAACATCACCGCTTTTTCCGCGGTCGGTGGGGAAGATGAGGGAAGGGGCAAATGAACCCAGATCCCCTCTGTTTAAAACTGAAGAGCCGAGCAGCACTGCGAGGTCCGTCATGAAGGACTTCGTGACAAACTTCGCTGCTGAGAAAAGCAGATGCTGTGCCGGAACGGGCTGCCTCTCTCCGGGGTGTCCTCGGGCGGCCGGTCCGCTCGTAGGAACCGCTTTTAGTTCGTTTGTATTCTGCAGGAGAAGCAAACGAAGGTGGGCTGTGCGGCCATCGGAGCGCCTGGAAGCGCTGTGCTGTCTGTACTTCCCACTTCGGGGGGCAGAAATATGACAGCAGGGAGGAAAACGGGTAAAGGAGGCAGGAAAGCAGCTATTGCGTCCAGCAAGAAAGCAAAGGGTAGAGGAGGCAGGAAAACTACTATTGCATCCAGCAAAAAAAAAAACGGGTAGAGGAGAGGCAGGAAAACCACTATTGCGCCCAGCAATTTTTTAAAATTATTTTTTGCGAATTATTTTTGTTCTCTGAGCACAGCTCGGATGCTCGGGGCTGCTTGTGCCCCAGTGGCACCAAATGGGGCAGAGTCCTTTCCCGGCGCTGCCTCGGAGCCGCAGCCGAGCGGCCGTTGTCACCTCGCCGGGCATCCCGCACCGCCGGGCGCTCCGGGGCTCCCCGAGCTCCTCCTGCCCCGTCTGGCTGTTGCTTTGCACGACCTCTTTGTTTCTCCCCTCACCCCGTCCCGTGTGTTTCCTCCACAGCGGCGTAGCTCTGTCCAGAGCTCACTTTGAGAAGCAGCCGCCCTCCAACTTGAGGAAATCCAATTTCTTTCACTTCGTTCTGGCGCTCTACGACAGACAAGGGCAGCCCGTGGAAATAGAGAGGACAGCTTTTGTGGACTTTGTAGAAAACGATAAAGTAAGGCTGCTTATCTTTCTTTTCTCTCTTCAGATTGAATACCTGTTGTACCACCCGGCACCGCACGGCCGGCTCTTGGGGAAGGGTTCAGGTGTTTGGAAGGGCTGCTGGGGCTGCAAAGCTTTCAAGCCCCCACAGCACCAGCAACACAATGGGACTTTCCTACATTATCTGAAAACAGAATAAAAAATTTCATGTGGGGATGGGGGGGGGGGGGGCGGGGGGGACAAATAATTTTAAATCATTTTTTACTTTGATTAATTCCACCAGAGCAGCCAAGTTTTATTAGTTCCCCAACAGGAGCAGGATGTGACCTGAATTATGTCCTATCATCCACTGTGCTGTGTGCTTCTCGTGGCTCCACAGTCAGTGGCAGGGCTGCAAAAGCATTTGCTTTTGTGCTTTAAATCCACACGTGAAGTATTTTGCGTTGCTTCATGCTGTTGTTTTTATGGTCACTTTTCTGAGTTGTGGAAAAGATGACTGTGATTGGAAAATGTGCTCAGAGATGTACATCTTCTAGGGAATGAAGGGGGAAAAAGAAAACACTGTAATGTAACCTGCGGGAAATAAGTATCAGCAGTGACAGCACTGCGAAGTAATCCAACACATTTAAAGCCAGAAAAACCACCGAGCATTTCTGCTATCAATTGCTTGATGTGCCGTATTGCTTGAGAGCATAATAGCGACTCAGAGAGGAAAAGAAGTTCTTGAACTCCCACAGAAGGAGATGTCCGCGGTATTTTGTAGTTCCTCCTGGGTCAGTCAGAAGGCGAATTTATCCCAATCACTGAATTCACCATTTTAAAGCTCTTCATTTTGGCTCCCGTCCCATCGATCAGCTCTCGCGTTTGTGATGCGCCCGATAAGTTCTTGAAGAATTGAGTTTTGATTCTCTTTCAGGAGCAAGGCAACGAAAAGACCAACAACGGCACGCATTACAAACTGCAGCTCCTGTACAGCAACGGTGAGTGCGCTCCGCTGCTCCTCCCGCAGGCGATGAACCCAGGCGGGATTTGCAGGCGCTGCCGCTGTGGTTTCTAAAGGACAGTGAAAATCCATTGCGGTTCCCTCCCGTAGCATCCCCTCGTCGTCGGGGTGAGCTCTGCTGTGCGACGGTGGCTTTGGGGAGGGAACTGTAGGAAACGAAACCAAGCGGTGTTTAATAGGGCTCTGTTAAATGCTGTGCGTTGTGCTGCGAACACACAGACGTGTCGGCACTCATCGCTCCTCTCTCGCTGTAGGTGTCAGGACTGAACAGGATCTGTATGTCAGACTCATTGATTCCGTCACCAAGCAGGTGAGCGTGGCTCAAACACCCCCATCCCGTTTATCTGTGCTCTGCGAAATTCTTCCTCTTGTTTGGTTTTGTCTCCTTGGCGTTTTATTTGCTAATAAACTTTTGTGTTTTTATGTCATTCTTTTTTTTTTATTTCCCCCCCCTCTATGCATTACAGGCTCCTATCCACTCCTTACCAATATTTCTGTATAACATTCCTGTTCCAAAGGGCTTCTGGGGAAGGCGTCTATTTGCAAACCATGGTGAAAAAAAACCAAAACACCTCCAATTTGGCTGTGAGCAGAATGAAGTGATGCCCAAATGCTGCCCACTGACCCCTTGTCTTCATTTTTGTAGCCCATAACTTATGAAGGACAGAACAAGAATCCAGAGATGTGCAGAGTGCTGCTCACTCATGAAGTCATGTGCAGGTAAGGTGCTTCTGCTCGTGGCGGTGATTACACAGATGCTGAAATGGCCTTTCCAGTGAACTCATAGGTAGGGTTTGTTTTTATTTTATTTTTTGTCAGAGTGACTCCATGGCAAAATACTTTTTATACAAGCCTTTCCTTTGCATTATTTTAACTTACTGAATTAACATAATCAACATTCTTTAATTTTGCTTAGTTGTTCTCCTTCCCAAAAAATCCATCCAGGCAAGAAAGCTCCCAAACCAAAACCCAAATCCTTCCTACACCTTGTAAGCCATACTTAAAGGGTTTGTATCTTTTAATTACACATGAAAATGGGCTCTTTTTTAATGTTATAAATTAAAGGGTGACATGAGGATGTTTTTAATATCATTTTTATAACCCTGAAGTTGCATGTACCTTATATACTTACATCATGCTTCCATGGTAACTTATTACTTACCCTGTTCTCACATCATTAGTTTTTTTTCCAATAAATACAGCAATGCAAACAGTCAACGTTCTTAGATTAAAATATATTAAATTCTGCACAGTGTTCTTACATGAAATGAAAAGCAAAACCCATCTTAACCTGCACTGGAGGCGCTTTGTGATGGATGGCACTGGTGGGGTGGTGAGGTCACTGCTCTGCGTGCTGCTGGTGGCCACGTCGTAAAATAGTCTCCTGACTATCAGAGATATTAATAGCCTTTAATTATTATATTTTTTTTACAGACTATTTTTTTTATTAGTGACTATTAATAGAGTGGTAATAGCGACGTGCTTGGACTGAGTTCTTGTTCAGAGAATGTCTCAGTGCTTGAAGGAAGAGGAATAATTGGTGCAAGTAGAATAAGAATCGCATAAAAGCACAGTTTCTGTTTTGCTCCCACTATGTAAGATGAGCGTTGTTACTTTCCATCAGCAATCACACACTGCGAGATGCACACACTGTGTGCTCTACAAAGAGATGCAGCAGCAAAAATCCACGGGCTGTAGTTACCTCCTGGCACACAAGGAACTCGTACACACGTTTGTACACATGTGCTTTCACTGCTTGTGAGAGTCCACCCTGTGATGGTGAGGGACAGAGAAGGAATAGCCTTGTGCACCTGGGCTTCTGTGCTATCAAAACAAGTTGGCACACTTGGTCTTCATCTGCTTTTCCTCTTTGCAGACAGGTTCTGCTCCAGAACTTAAATTATCTCAGCCGACGCCGTCCCATCAGATGCACTTCTTTAAATGAAAAGGAGTTTCTTTTCCTTCTGTGCTTCTTCTCTCTGGTTTCCAAGTGTGAAACTCTGTTCATCTCCTTACACACCTGGCCTGTGCTGGTGCCTGGAAGCACATCCAGGGCCTGATTTCAGCTAGCATCCTAAAACACAAACTGTCATTCAGATTACACTCAACTTTCCAGCTTGATCAATTAGCCAAGGAAGAATTACAGCTCAGGGACGTCCTTTGCACACGAAGCACTTCTCATTCCGTGCTTTGTGTCCTCAGCAAGACGTCCCACTTTAAAGGTCTTGTTTTCCTAAAGCGTGGTGCTGTGCATCCCAGCAAGGCCTGACGCCCATCGCTTTGAATAACGCCCAGGGAACGGATCCGACTCGACTTAAACTTGACATTTTATTTTCTTCCTTTTTAAGTGCTATAATCAAATGTTCCTCATTGTGTGCTGCTTAAGTGGCAGCATCAATTTTTAAAGCCCCAGTTCGGTTTGCAATCGTAACAGTATATAAAAATTTAATGCACTGTACCCGCTCTGCTGTCCAAATTGATGCCTACTGTTTTTATAAAGAAGGGTCTGTCTGGCTGCCTGCTCCCCTCCTTCCCATCCTTGAAGGTAGGCTCTTTTTTTTCTGCTATTTTTTCATATTTTTTATATATATTCACAACGCAGACACATTTTTTTGCTGTACAGAGATGAGTGCATCCGAAGCTCCACATCTCCCCCTCAGACAGTGACAGATGTGTGCTGAGCAGCGCAGTTGTCTCAATATTGATACGGCTGCGCCGATCTGTCATTCCCATTTCATAGCCATCGGAAGTTAAGCTCTCAGCTCCCAATAATTAGCGCTTTCCGCGAGAGGGAGAGGTTTTATTACTTATTTATTGGCTGATCTGAAGGCGGTTTTACTTTTTTCCCCCCCATTTGGGTTATTACAACCTGTTCCTATCGGGCGCATCTCTCCCAAACGCGCGGTAGATGGAAATCAAAGTAAAAGCTCCCCTCTCCCAGAATAACTTTTTTTTTTCCTGTCCTTTTCTTTTTATTTCTTCTCCCAATTACCAACCCGGAGGAAGCCGGCAAACCCTCCCTACGCCCTCAATGCTCAGAGGGTTAAAAGGTATTATAATTCGAACAGAAGTAGTCTCAGGGTCTACAGCTGGCTAATAACAGAGCTGCATTGAGCGCAGGCGAGCCCCACAGCTGTGACTTTCGCCACAAGGCTCGGAGCAGACAGCAGCTCTAATCAGCTGGGCCAGGCGGCCGCTGGGGCCCGTGGCTTTATCGGCCAGATGGTGTGAATTTAGACACTTTTGTTATGCAATTGCAGGGAGGAGTTGGGGAGAAGAAAACAAAACAAAGGCCACCATGCTGCGAGCTTATTTGAGTTTGAAATTAGAGACAGATTTTTTTTTTTTTTTTTTT